AAGGCTTCCCCACCGTTCCCTACCGTTTCACAGCATCCTGTCTGTCTGGATAAAGATATCCCACTACCAGGAACATGATTTAAACGGGAGAGAGGGTGGGTGGAAGGAAACCAAACCACGAGAAAAAAACAACAACTCCAGAAAGGATAAAATATCTGTTCCAAGGCTGTGCAGAAAAGGATGTTGCAGCAGAAGACCTTTTTAATAAGGTAGTCCTCGACTTAACGACTATTTGTTTAGCAACCAATCGGAAATGACAACGGCACTGAAAAAATTCTAACCACCGTTCCTCCACCTTACAACGCAGGATCAAAATTTGGGCGCCCGACAACCGGCATACATTACACAAGTTGTTAAGTGAAACGGTCCATACTGCGGTCGGTAAGTGAGGACCACCAGTATCCAGGTGGATGACAACTGAAGTGGGAGTCCTTTTTTTTAATCTCCAGATGGGAAGACAGGGGTGCCCACTCTCTATGGGTGCTCCGGGCAATTTTGGGGGGCTTTAAAAAAGGGGAGACAGAAAGGCCTGGCGACATATGAACACATGAACAACGGTTGCAGGATTTGTCTTTGGCTAGTCTAGAGGGGGGACAGGATAGCAGTCTTCCATTATTTGGGGGGCTGCCCCAAAGAAGAGAGGGTCAAGCTATTCTCCAAAGCGCCTGAAGGCAGGACAAGAAGCAACGGATGGAAACTGATCAAGGAGAGAAGCAACCTGGAATTAAGGAGAAACTTCCTGACAGTGAGGACAATTAACCAGTGGAACAGCTGGCCTCCAGAGGTTGTGAGTGCTTCATCACTGAAGGGTTTTAAGAAGAGACTGGACAGCCATCTGTCTGGAATGATCTAGGGCAGGGGTCTTCAAACGTGGTCCTTTTATGTCTTGTGGACTTCAACTCCCAGAATTCCTCAGCCAATGTGCCTGGCTGAGGAATTCTGGGAGTTGAAGTCCACACGTCATAAAAGGACCAAGTTTCAAGACCCCTGATCTAGGGTCTCCTGCTTAAGCAGAGGGCTGGACTAGAAGACCTCCAAGGTCCCTCCCAGCTCCATTCTAATTGATTGAATATTTGGAGGCCCCTCTCAGCCAATTAACTTGAGTTCAGATTTTTTTTTTTTTTTAAACTGGATTTTGTAGGGATCATGTGCTCTCTTACGACGTGCTTTGGATCCACCCTGTTTATGAACTGGGACTGAAGCGAAAACTGGAGACCCATCTCAAGAAGAGCAGGCCAACAGTCCTTACTTCAAAGTCTCGTGAGCTGCAATGGGGGTGATTAAAGTTGAAAAGGAGACAGAGAGATGCCTTAACAGGGTTTAGAGGTGGAGATTCTTCTTAATAATAATAATAATAATAATAATAATAATAATAATAATAATAATAATAATAATAATAATAATAATAATAATAATAATAATAATAATAATAATAATAATAATAAAGTTGGAAGGGACCTTGGAGGTCATCGAGTCCAACCTCCTGCTCAGGCAGGAACCTGTCTGGCTGTCCAGTCTCTTCTTAAAACCTTCCCGTGTTGGAGCATCCACCACTTTTGGAGGCAGGTTGTTCCACTGGTTAATTGTTCTGACTGTCAGGAAGTTTCTCCTTAGTTCTAGGTTGCTTCTTTCCTTGATTAGTTTCCATCCGTTGCTTCTTGTCCTGCCTTCAGGCGCTTTGGAGAATAGCTTGACTGCCTCTTCTTTGGGGCAGCCCCTGAGATACTGAAAGACTGCTATCCTGTCCCCCCTCGTCCTCCTCTTCATTAGACTAGACAGACCCAATTCCAGCAACCGTTCCTTATATGTTTTAGCCTCCAGTCCCCTAATCATCTTTGTTGCTCTTCTCTGTACTCTTTCCAGAGTCTCAGCATCTTTTTTACATCGTGGTGACCAAAACTGGATGCAATATTCCAAGTGTGGCCTTACCAAGGCCTTGTAAAGTGGTATTAACACTTCACGTGATCTTGATTCTATCCCTCTGTTAATGCAGCCCAGCACTGAGTTGGCTTTTTTGGCAGCTGCAGCACACAGCTGGCTCCTATTCCATGCTTATCCAAACTTACCGTGGGGGCAGGTTTTCCACCAGCGACAAGGCAAACCAAGGTAAAATTCTGGGCTTGGTAGCGGCTGAAGGGAGCTGGAGTGTCCGCAGCAATGACGGAGATGGATGTGGGAGGTGCTGGTGGGAGAAGGAAGAATATTTGTTACTCATTTGATCGACCAGGAGCATCGTCCGAGGAGTGAGGTCAACTGGAGAGGTTTCTCCAAGACCTCCTGAAGCTTGAAAGTCCTAGTGAAGTGGGTGAGATGCATCGGGAACCCACAGTAGTGCTAGCGTTCCCCTCTGTCAGATTTCCTTCTAAAATGGGGAAAAACTGCCCCTTGCACATCACCCCATTGGCAAACTGGAGAACATCTGGAGAAAGGAAAGGAGAATGGATTGAAAAAAGAGGTGAAGGTCATCTTCAGGTTATGCCAGAAATGCAGAATGCAGAATTCTAAAGACAGAAAAACCAAAGCAAAAAAAAAAAAAAAACCAAGGCCTTCCGCTACAGAATGGACATTTTGGAGAGAGTGCACAGTTTCTTCCATTATTTACAGAGATTTATTTTTCCAAGTTATTCCCCAACTCCCCAACTCTATTACTGAAGTGATAAAGACACAAATGTTTTAAGTTCTCTCTTAAAAATACATGCTCGCCTTGGTAGCAATTACACGTGGAGTAGTTTTAAGTTTTCAGGGTTTTAAGTAGGACGTTTCGCCCCATGGAAAGTTTTTAGTTCTTTTCTTTTTTTTGCTGGTGCTTTTTATGAGCTAGGAAATGCAGACCCAGCAAAGAATAAGTCAATACCTAGTGTGGTGTGTTTTTTTCCCCTACCCTGCAGCAAAGTCTCTCATCCCCCTGTGGTTGTGATCACAAAGCCATTTTTTTTTTGTTTTGCAAGTGGTTTGGAAAAATAGAAAGCTTTTTCTTCCAAGCTCAGCCAAGGAAAAACAGATGAAATAAGACAGATGGAATGGTTTATGATGCACCTAAACTCCAATGATGGCTTATTATGACAGCCACCCACAGTGGGGGGGGGGGGTGGAGGTCGTAAAAGTTTAGTTAATAATAGCATTCTTTATTTATTTGACTTCTATAGATGCCCATCTCAGCAAATGACCCTGGACGGCTATAGAAATCAATCCATCAACCATAGAAAAACTGCTATTATTTTATTAAATTTTTATGACGCCTATCTCCCCTATAAAGCGACTCTGGGCAGCTACCATAATAAGCCATCATTATTATTATGTTCACCATATTTTCAAGCCTATGAAAAGCTGCTTCTCAAGCGGTATGGATTTGTGGGACACACAAATGTCTTAACGCAATTAAAACTGTCATGGGATGCACAGAGATGGATAGATTAACATTAAAAATGAAAGAAGAAAAAGGATTTTATATGACACGGGACTTATTTTACCAATGGCTAGCTAATAAAAACGAGATTACAAAGTTAGGAATATGAGAGAATATGTGGATTATGTGAGCACGATGTATAACGGATTAGTAAATGCTTCGATTGTTATATAACTAATGTTCATGTGGGTAATACCATTTTTAATATTTTGATTGCTATTTCCTAGTATATGATTGTACTTTGATAAGATTATTATGAACGTGATGGTTATTATATTTTAATACTTGTATACCTAGACCAGAGGTAGGCAACCTTGGCCCTTTTATGAGTGGTGGACTTCAACTCCCAGAATTCCTGAGCCAGCCACGCTGAGGGGAAAGGGAGAGGTTTCCAAGCTGAGCCATGCCGGCTCAGGAATTCTGGGAGTTGAAGTCCACGAGTCATAAAAGAGCCAAGGTTGCCTACCCCTGACCTAGACAATGCACTGTTCAATGTAGAAATGGAATTTTTAAAATAATAATAATAATAAAACAATTTTTAAAAAAAACTGTCACGGGGAGCAGCCCTGCCTGCATGGCCGTTGGCCAAGAGGGATGGGACTTGTAGTTGGTCAACTTCTGGAGGACCACAAATCCTTTTTGTGAAGACATTCAAAGCCTCTCCTGAAATCTCCGCCAATGTTGCTCCGTCGAAAATGCGCAGCTCTCTCTCCTTTCCGTGGGGTGTCCATCTTCCTTTATTAAAAACCAGGTCAGCTCTGTGGGGTTGGGAGCCCCAGCTGGTGAACACCGCTGCCGTGACACTGGAATTAGCAGAGCCGGCTGATTTATGACAAGCGATGGGCCTTGGACGTCATTTGCTCCGGCGGTGGAGTCTCAAGAGGCTGCAGCAATGGGAAGGAAACTTGGATCCTCCAGTTGACGGTCAGGACCGAGAGAGATGGGTGGACAGGCACCCTTAAGAAGTCATCTTGCACACAACTCCTTCCCTTTTGGCGTGGAAATTGCTTCTTGGAAGACCCTCTCCAGCTCGAACGATGGCCCTGTTCCCTCCTTAGGCATCCCTCGAAGCGATTTCAAGAACTCCCGGCTTCGTCACATCACAATCCATTCAATGGATGCAGGATCCTCTCCATCTTTCTTGCATTCGTGCAGATTTGTATCCCAAGGCGAGAAAAATGAGCTGGGAAGAGAAATAGTCCCAAAGAAAGAGATAACTACGGGGAAGAGATAAATGGAGAAAGAGGGAAAGAAAAATATAGATGCAGGCGCTCCAGAGTCTAGCTGCAGATTTAAATAATGGAGCAAAGCCACTTTATACAGCAGAATATAACAGCCGTAGCCGGTGAGGGGTTTGCGGTCCTGCCCTGGGGTGTTTGCCAAATTTGGGGCATTTCTGCTTCCAAAGGAGCAGAGAGGAAGGAGGAGCTTGCCACGGCTGCACAAAAACTCAAGGGAACTGGGGAGAAGGGAAGGTCCGGGAGGGCATCAAGTCTGACCCCCTGAAAGGAAATTCAGAGCTTCTTCTTGAAGGGCTCCACCTGTTCAGGAAGGTGGTTTCCATCATCCACTCTTTCTCCCAAAGTTCACATAGATTCGACCTCTCATGAAACAGTCAAAGCAATTCCAGCAATGCTTGGTGGCTGGTTGGGGTCACGCTGGGTTGAAAGTTCATGGATCTGGGCCAAGGGGAGAAGGCAGATGGACGAAGTAACGTTGCTCTGTTCAAAAACTCTCCATCCTTTTCACAAATGGCTGCCAAACACAATTTTTGCCCCCCAAATTCACCCACACGTTATTTCCACCAANCTCCTCCTCCTCCTCCTCCTCTTCTTCTTCTTCTTCTTCTTCCTCTTCTTCTTCTTCTTCTTCTTCTTCTTCTTCTTCTTCTTCTTCTTCTTCTTCTTCTTCTTCTTCTTCTTCTTCTTCTTCTTCACTCTCCTCCTCCTCCCCTTCTTCTTCTCTTCCCCCTCCTCCTCTTTCCCCTTCTTCATTGTTCTTCTCCTCCTCTTCTTCTTCTCCTTCTTCTTTCATCATCTTCTTCTTTTCCTTCTCCTTCTTCCTCCTCTTTTCTTCTCCTTCTCTTCCTCCTCCTCCATTCTTCATTCTCCTCCTCCTCCTCCTCCTCTTCTTCCTTTCTTCTCCTTCTCTTCCTCCTCCTCCTCCTCCTTACTTCTTCCTTTGACCTCCAAAAGACATTAAGGAGCAACATGGAGAAGAGATCACTCTAAACGTTCCTGTGTTGGGATCAAGTGTGACAAAGAAACTCAAACCAACCCCTTCTAGATGTTCTTCTGCATCAGATGTCATTCTACTTTACTACACCACTGGTTTTGCTGCAGGGTCTGTTTTCTGGGTCTGACCTACTGTGAAGGGCTGATCAATCAACCAGGCATGGTAAGGGTGGTGGCACTCAAGACCAGCATCCACGAATCGCCACGTGGGGCGTTTCTATTACACAGAGGAGGATCTGGTTGTCCTTAAGAGGTCCCTAGTCTTCAAGATCATCATGCGTTTCAGGCAGATTCTAACCAGCAACCTTTATACGTCCTCATCAGCTGCAGGCACCTTTCATAAGGGACTGACAGTGTGTCATGTTAGCGAGAAGACTTATTACAGGAGTCCCTCTGTCTGGCGTCGGCCTCCTCCACCTTTACACCCCCTCCCTTCGCCCGGAGCATCTTCCCTCGTGCCAGCCGCCTTCGCCACCCTCCTTAATCATGCCTCCAGAACATTGAGCCATGAAGTCACCCATCACAACCAATTAAGGGTGCTGTCTGGAGGACAAGATCTTTACCTAATGCAGAGATGGCTAAATTTAGAAGCAGCCGACAGAAGAAGAGGTGCAAATTGCCCCGGCCGACCCAGGAGATGTCAGAATCTAATTACACAGCTGCAAGGCTCCCCCACACATCGCCCCCCTCTCCCCCAAGCACAAAGTCGGGAAGGCGAAGGGGGGGAGTCAGCAGACTAGAAAAGTCTGTCAAGCAGCGGATTCATCCTTCCCCCCCCCCCAAGTCCAGTCCCAATTTTACGGGGATGCCTTCACCGTGAGAAGATGCGGGACAAGGAACCCCCAACTTTCACACAGGGGAATTACGAGAAACCCCCAGTTCCTATGGGTCAATCTGTCTTAACACGGAGACTTCAAAACTCAAAATCAGAATACAGCTGGAAGGGACCTCTGCTTAAACAGGAGACCCTACACCACTTCAGACGAATGGACGTCCAGTCTTTTCTTAAAAATCTCCAGTGATGGAGCACCCATGATTTCTGAAGGCAAGCTGTTCCACTGGTTAATTGTCCTCACTGTTAGGAAGTTTCTCCTTAATTCCAGGTTGCTTCTCTCCTTCATTAGTTTCCATCCGTTGTTTCTTGTCCTTCCCTCTGGTGCTTTGGAGAATAACGTGACCCCCTCTTCTTGGTGGCAGCCCCTCAAATACTGGAATCCTGCTATCATGTCACCCTAGCCCTTTTTTTTTCCAGACTGGCCATTCCCAAATCTTGCAGCCGTTCTTCATATGTTTTAGTCTCCAGGCCTTGGATCATCTTAGTTGCTCTTCTTTGCACTTTTCCCTAAAGTCTCAACATCTTTTTTGTAGCGTGGTGGCCAAAACTGGATGCAGTATTCCAGGGATGGCCTTACTAAGGCTTTATAAAGCGGTACTAATATGTCACACGATTTTGATTCTGTGCCTCTGTTTATAAAACCAAGGATTGCGTTAGCTTTTTGGGCTCGCAGCCTTTCCACGTCCGTCATGTATTCAACCATGGAT